CCTGTATGCTTCTAAACGGAGTCGTTATATTTTGGCACATACCTAAGATTTTAGGTAAAAAACTTATATATACTGTCAGAGCAAAAAATATAAACAAAAAACAAAAAAGACCCTACTTTTTTAAATAGGTCGGGGAATGGTCCTTTACATAAATCATAAAAAATATAGTTAAAGAATTAAACAGACCTTACACATTAAAATCAAGTCATATTGGTCATATAGTATTGCCATTAAGAGACATATTTCCATATGGATTAGCAGACTTAGTAAATAATTGCATACCGGAGAATAACCGTCTTACAAGCACATGGAGTACCCAAAGTACTATGGATCGTGCCCAATCTCATTCGCCCATCGGCCGGGTTATGTTAACTGAGCGTTATCTTGTGAAATTTGTTTGTCGCTCAGAAAGCTTGCAGAAAGTGTTAGGAATTAGGAATTCAGGGCACTCTCTGAAAATCATATTCAAAATGTTAAAATGCTAATATGTACTCCCAGTAGGGAGAAATAGTATTTGGACATCTTAAACATGACTTGTTATTATGTGGGAAAATCGTATCTTCCGATTTTCCCACATAATAATAAATCCATATTTAATTCATTTAGTATTATGGTCATCCTCTTTATTATCTATTTAATGGTTTTTTTTATGTAATCCATCTATTGCGGGTGTGAGAGTAGCGATGCTCGCAATGGCAAATATCCTTCTACATGCAATGCACTTTTAATTTGAAATGAAATGAAAAACCTTTATTTGCCGTCTTATACACAAAAAAGACCCTACTAATAGAAACAGACAAAAAAAAGAAAACTTTGCCTAAGAACAAAAAATAATCACTAAAACTAAGACGGCCAATCAGGACCCTGTCTTAGCTTATGCTGACACACTGAGAGAATACTCTCTCACAGTATCACCGCTGGTATTCTGGCAGGGCCTTTGCGAGAACGTGTAAGGCGCTAAAAAGCAAACAAAATAACAGGTACAATTTGCATCATATTTGGTTTGGTCGATATTTATCAAAAGCTTTGTCTCACGCCCTTTCAAAGATATACCTGCTGCAACAGGTGAAGATTTCGATTCGAACAAAAGGCTGTCAAGTTTTACTCACCACCGCATTTGAGGCAGGCGAAATTTCAGTAAATAGTTTCGGATTCTTCCCTTGTGATAATTCCATGTCAGTTAGCTTATATACTTGCACTAGAGGTGCCCTGCGGTTTCACCCGCATGTATTTGAGAAATTAAAGTGAGTCAACCTTAAAAGATAGACAGAAATATGCCGTCCTGGACTTTTATGTTGAACTTCTGAAGGAGAACAATTGATTCCGTCATACATGGTTTTGTGCGCAACTTTTACGCAGCGCAGGCAACGAAAGCTCACAAATGGAATATTTTTTACCGTTTTTGCAACATTTTTCATTGGTGCTCCGCAATTATTGGTCGTATCATTATGTTATATACCCTATAACCTTCCTCGATAAATGCAGTATCCAAAATAAAAAATGGTTGCCTGTAAAGTCGGTTTTACGGGCGAAGATTTTACGTGACAACGTCTTTTTCTCGGTAGAATATTTATTGATATGAATATAATTAAATTGCACAATAGGAACAAGGAATTGAATGAAAATAAGAATTGCACAAATTTTAACTATAGAAATATATTTTGTTTACTAAAACATTGTACATGTAAACTTAAACTTAACACGAGAGACTCATCGTAACGTTACCGAGCGTTACACTTTTTCATAAGTGACTCCCAGCCGCAACCTAATTTAAGACGTTGTCACGTCAAAAGATTTTTTCATATTGGACTAGCAGTTCCTGATATTAGCAAGTTCAACCAAATAAACAATGAAAAAACTCTTCGCCTTATAATATTAAGTACATACTTATAGAGTGTTAGCAACCAGCACATTCTACGTTTTTCTTCCGTTATAACGCAGTTCAAAACAATTTGTCCATATTTAAAATAACATCAGCAGACCTGATATTGAGTTGTCGTTGGCTAAATGTTCATTCGCTGTAGATAGCCAAAATCATCACATTAGAGCGCTGAACAATCATCATCATCATCATCAGCCTATTAATGTCCCCACTGCTGGGGCACAGGCCTTCCCTATGGATGGAATAGGGAGATTGGGCCATGACTCACCACGCGGGCCCAGTGCGGATTGGTGAGTGCTAACGACTGCAGATGCAGCCGGGACCAACGGCTTAACGTGCCTTCCGAAGCACGGAGGAGCTCGAGATAGTAATATTTGGTCACCCATCCAATGACCGTCCACTGCGAAAGTTGCTTAAGTTCAACGATCGCAGCCGAACGCGCTAACCACTTGCGCCATCGAGCTCCTCAAACACAATTTGACGGGTTTAATGAATACGTTACCTTACATATCGTTAGTTAAACGAGTACAGTACCCTTAGCACGAACCAATATCGAATTCGTAACGTTTGCGTTGCGAGTCCGAAATGTCATTGTCAAATGTGTACTGATTTTTAGTTCTCGTTACATACTTTGTGCCGCTGCTGTTCAAGTTTCCATACAAAATTTGACTTTGACATTTCGGTTTTCACACTGTTCGAATTCGATAATGGTTCGTGCTAGGGATACAAAACACATTTGACAATAACATTTCGGACTCGCAAACGATACGAATTCGATATTGGTTCGTGCTAGGGGTACAGAAAGCTTCCATGAGAGAATAACATTTTACATGTTAATGAGAATATAACATGACTGCTCGGAGGCACATGTAGAGTAAAGCATTATATTGTAACATAATTTGTAAGGCTTGAACTCAAACATGATACCTACCCATGCCGAATATTTGCGATAGATCCAACGGAACGGATTTGCTTTAAGTAAATACCTCGTGCTCCTAATAAAGGTATCTTAGCCTAAAGCAAAACTAGTGGAGCGCCTGGAGGTTTATACCTCGGATTTTTGCAACAGTGAATGAAATTAAAAAAATATATATGGAATGTTCATCTAATAATACATATAAAAAAGTTTACCTATTAAAAAATTGTGATGTTGTTTTTTTTAATGAGTGTGCCTTACGGTATTGTCATATGATTTGTACCTACTTGGTGTATAATTTTCGTTACTTTAATTTCACTAGCCGCTTTTAATATATGAAACTTCTTTTCTAAAGGGTTCTGAAGAAGAAGACTCCACCAATGTCCGTTTGTCTGTCTGTCACCAGGCTGTTTATTTAAAACTGTAAATAAATTACGAAATATCCTACAATAAAGTCAACCAAGGCCGTTTAATTTACATTCCCAACTAGCATTATATATTAGAATAGACTCAGAGCTGGTAGCAAAAAAAATTGGAGGGCAGAACTTACTATTATTTAAGAGTAAAAATTGTACGAAAATATTTTGTATATTTCTGTCAGACGTTTGATTGTCGACGGTTTATTGTAAAAGTTTATTCCTATTTCTCCGCTTGGTAAGTAATTTGGTTAAAAACCTTCACTTAATTATTACATGATCAATTCAATAATATATAAATTAATAACTAAAGGTCAATTCAAGTAAAAAAAAATGGATAAATCGCAACAAATTTATTATTTGATAGCGATGTTGCTAGTTGGGAATGTAAATTAAACGGCCTTGGTTGACTTTATTGTAGGATATTTCGTAATTTATTTATTTATGTATTATTAGATGAACATTCCATTTGGATTTTTTTAATTTCATTTACTGTAACTAAAATCCGAGGTTTTCGTGTATTTAACGCCCCAGGCGCTGCACCAAACATGCTTCTTATAATATGATTAATAATTCACTGAAGTGTGTTGGTCTAAATAACAGTTTACCTCGTCTCTCGTTATTATTTCTTATTCAAAAACCATTACTCATTAAGTTATTGGGAACAATCGAATCAGTTGGTCTTCCACTTAAAGATGCTAATTGTTTCCGCTCCCGAGTTACGCTAGTATCCTTAATATACCGTATTGGTTCCTTCCATTACTGGGGACGAGTACAAGCGACTGTCAACTCAAAATAAATAGCTTCGACAATATAATTCATTGAACATAAACAAATTAATCTATCAGGGCCGCGCCACCCCTATGTTCGAAGGGTACGGTACATACAGGCGCCAAGACTATAGGGGCGCCAGCTGGCTGAACAGCGCTAATTTATTACAGAAATTATTTTTGTTTTACAACAACATACCTACACCTATTGGATAAAAAGAGGCTCCATATATTTCGCACACAGGCCACCCTGGTAGCCTCACCTTCGTAGTTGCTTCTTACTTAATATAACGGTCATTAGCGCTAATTTAGCGGACTTGCCTGAACCCGACAGCGCCAGCAGTACCTAGCAACAGAGTTACAATCTATTTGTTAAGCAAATGCAAATGAATGAATCCCTTGTCTTCGTAATTGTTTCTTGCTCAGTATAACGGTCATAAGCGCTAAGTTAGCGGGCATGACCAAGCCCAGCAACGCGCTGCATTTGGGCGCCAATTGGCGGGTAGTGGCGCGTGTTGTTCAATATGGTGGAGTTGGTGGCACCCGCCGAACCGAACCACAGTATTCATGGAGCAAAAACAAATGAATGTATCACTCCTTTACAATTGCTTCTTGCTCAGTATAATGGTCATTAGCGCTAAATTGGCGGATATGCCAAGCCCGACAGCGCCAACAGTACCTATCAACAGCGTTATAATCTATTTGTTGAGCAAAAACAAATGAATGTGTAGCTAACCTTCGTAATTGCTTCTCGCTCCGTATAACGGTCATCAGCGCTAAGTTAGTGGACATGCCCAGACCTGACAGCGTCAACAGTACCTATCAACAGCGTTATAATCTATTTCTTGAGCGAAAACAAATGAATGTGTCACTCACCTTCGTAAATGCTTCTTGCTCCGCATAATGGTCATCAGCGCTAAGTTAGCGGACATCCCCAAGCCCGGCAGTGTCAAGAGTACTTATTAACAGCGTTATAATCTATTTGTTGTGCAAAAACAAATGAATGTGTCACTCACCTTCGCAATTGCTTCTTGCTCAGTATAACGGTCATCAGCGCTAAGTTAGCGGACATGCCCAAGCCCGACAGCGCTAGCAGCGCCGCAGCGCTCGCGGCGCCGCCTGGGGGGCAGTGCCGCGTGTGGTTCAAGATAGTAGAGTTGGTGGCACCCGCCGAACCGAACCGAAGGTTCGCACCTATCATCGCCACCGCCGAACCTGCTGCGTGTACGATCTTGTCGGTCACTTAAATAAATAAATAAATATTTCTTACACTCATACAAATTAGCCTTGCCTCAAAGTAAGCTTGTTAACGAGACGACTTCTACCCGGATCTAGGCATGGTTTTAAACCTAACGCTATGAATAGTCCAGGAAATGAAGCTCATAAATGGCAAAACCTCGCAATTTTTTCGTCCTGCATCGATTTGTATAAAAAAAATTAAGCCCATCTTACCCTCAACCGACCGACCCCCCCCCCCCTCTAAAAGTTAAACTATGGGCTTGAAAAATCCGGAAAAAATTATGATAATATTGCTATATTGCTTTTCATGAACTTGAAAGGAAAATTCTAACGGTTAAAATAGATTAGTTACAGTCGTTCAACTTATGTAATAGAAAATTTGTGACCTAATAAAAACATCTTAAAAGAAAACATTAAAAATGACTTGGACGAAGTAATTTCTTAAAATATAGACTGTAAAATATTGTGGTGACGACGAGCAACTACGGAACCCTACACTGCGCGTGGCATGACAATCACTTGGCCGATTTTTTCGTTGAAAAACTGTTACTTTTAATAGCGAATAACTCAAAAAATATTAAACATCCATGATTGCAGTACAAATCGTATTCATCACACAAACATCTGCCCCGGGGTTCGAACCCGATACGAATGACTCGGCCACTGAGATCGTCAATAACAATCCGTATATAAGTATCTTTTTCTACAAATATATATAAACAGCTGTGACTTAGACTTACTTTATATATAAACTAACCACAAAAAAATATTCCATTGGACAAACTTAGAACCTCTGAGTAGGGCGCCACCACAGAGATACAATGTCATTTCGGTCTCGGGAACCATTCGAATTCGATAATGGTTCGTGCTAAAGGTACAGTTTAATAATAATTCGCTTGTGTGCTGAATACAAGTATTTATTCTACTTATATATTAGGTGGGGACATTAATAGGTTGATGATGATGATGATATATTAGGTCCTTACATATGAAATTAGCGTTTTGTCGTACTGACCACTTTGATCTGAAATATCTCCTCTTTGGTTAAGAATTCCAAATTCAAATTTATAAATTCATTTAGCTGGTACATTTGAGTTTTTAAAACAGTCATTCATTTGTTTCTTTTCCTCATATTTTTTTTCTTTGGCGTATTATCGCACAATGGAAAATATGAAATATCGGTATATTTACATGTTCTACCGTGGCACCAGGGCTGCAAAAACAGCTCGAAGGATTAATAATGTGTACGGCGTTGGTGTCGCAAAAGTAAGCACGATCCGTTTTTGGTTTGAACGTTTTCGTTCTGGAAATTTCGACCTTCAGAACCAACCCTGTGGATGGCCAGAGACCAAAGTGGAAAATGACGAATTAAAGGCTATTGTGAAAGCGGATCCATCACAAAGCACTTCAGAAATAGCTGCAGGCTTCAGGCAGGGTAAGTGACAAAACTGTATAAATCCACATGAAGCAAATCGGGAAAGTAAAAAAAACTTGAACGATGGGTGCCTCATGAATTGAGTGAATTGAACATGAAAACACGCGAATTATTAATTTTAATTTTATATTGGAATGTCTGCCACAGCCACCATACTTCCCGGACCTTGCTCCAACAGATTACCTTTTTTCCGGAATTTTGGCCAACTTTTTACAAGGAAAAAAATCAACTTCGATGCGGCTGTCCAAACCGCTTTCAAAGAGTTTATTGATTCTCGCCCTCATGTTTTTTTTAGTAAAGGGATCAATGAACTGCCTATGAGATGGCAAAAGTGCATAGATATCAACGGTGCATACTTGGATTAATTAAATATATTTTACAAAATAAAAATTGACTTTATATTCCTCCCGTACAAAACGCCAATTTCATATGTAAAGACCTAATATAAAAGGCAAAGTTATTTATACTCTTAGCTATATCGTATTATAAACGCTAGCGCAAGATATATTTAGTTTGGGACTGAACTAAAAATTGTGAAATTATTTAAATTGTGATACAGAAGACAATAAGACGGATTGATGTTGTAGATGTTATGCTACATTACAAGTGGGCACCCCATTACCAAATGAAGTAAAGACCATTAAAACCGATAATGTTTTTAATAAATGTCCTATATTTTCGTTCACACAGACCGGCGCGGAGAGGATGGGAGCTTACGTTTCTTTTTACACCGACCGGCGCGGATTATATGCTCGGAGCCGACCAAGCCGTTTCACATAGACCGGCTGCGCTCGGATCCGAGCGGGTGTTCTACAATACCTCTAGTTCCGCGCAGTCCAAGTTTCGTTTACGATGTGTTATAACCTTCGATCAACAATACTATAGATAACGGGGCAGCGTGTAAAATTCGTCTCGGTATAGCCTCACTTATGGCGTAAAATCTTATTATGAACTAGTGGCCCGCCCTCGCTTCTCTTCGGGGTCGAATTGATCAAAATCCTTTCTTAGCGGATGCCTACGCTATAAAATCTACCTGCATGCCAAATTTCAGCCCGATCCGTCCAGTGGTTTGGGCTGTGCGTTGATAGATCACTATGTCAGCCAGTAACCTTTGAGTTTTATATATATAGATTAGTTCGGTTAATACACGGCCAATATAAACACGCGTCAGGATGCGACAAGTGCATTCATAAACACAGAAATATATTTGTTGGTAAGATTATTTGAAGCATAACACAACAAATGAAAGCGCAAATGCAAACGTAGAGAAATATTGGTCCAAAATATTTGGCAAAATCGACTTTAACATGGTGAGCAAACGGAGCCTATCGGCTATGGAAGACAGTGTTGGGGAACTAAAACAAAAACTACCCGAATACGGGCGTACTCGACTCCGTTCATTTACACTTAGTCGTTTACCCGAATTCCATCGGCACTCGTATTTGGGCTAACGACCAAGTGTATTCGCGCCATTAAGTTTGCTTTCAAGCTAAATAAAGAAGAAGTAAAATAACCTTATTACAATGATTCAAAATTCTAGGAATTTTGAAACATTTAAATAGGTTTAAATGTGATAAAAATCTGCTCTCTTCTCCGCGACGGTCCGTCTGAACGAACACTTAAACTTCTCATCGTGTCAAAGTATCAAATATAGTACAGTAACGGATAAAGTTACTTCAAACAATCGCAAAAGAACAATGTAGGTATGGCTTATAAAGTTGCACTGAAATATAATTACCTGCCGACATTTCGACAATCAGATGACCGCTTTCGAAGAGAGCTGACACTCGAGTGTCAGTTACGTGTCTCTGCGGCGGACAATCAACTGTGCTCGCTCCCCCCTCCAGCCCATTGCATTTTTGCACCAATCACTCTTTTTCCCACTGACATCACAATAGCACTGAACTGTATTATATCCGTGTGATATATATCACTTTTTCATTAGTTCCACGCACTTTTCATATGCCAGCTTTGATTAGTGTTACTGAAACAAAAGAGAAAATATGTTAGTATTCATAGATGAATGATTGGTCTCGCTTCACTCGACTAGATACCGCCGGCGTACTTGTTTAATGGGGCAACAAATACTATGCCGACATCGGCAGACCCGAGCCTTCGCCGTGTCAGTCACATTGACAGCTGCGCTTTAGGTGTTAGTCCCGCATATTTTAATCAATTTAGAGCACAATTCGCAGCAAAATGTCAGTTTGTGTTGTGAAACGTTGTAAGAATAATAGTTCATAAAATAAAAAGTACACTGGGATGACATACCATCAGTAAGTATCTTATAATTTCGAAATTTCGATGTAAAATTTCATGAAAAATAAATGTCATTTAGTGTTGCCAAGTACGCAATATAAAAGTCCCTATGGTTGAGATTTTTGTAATATGAATATACTGTTATATGACCCATTTCATTTGACCTCTTTATGAAATACAAACTATTCGTGTTAGTGAATCGAAAATATTTGAAAATAAATCGGGGGGGTTAAGAAAACATCACAATTTTGGAAAAAATGTTGAAATTAATTGAATGAAATTTAGCACAGAGGCCCAAGTACGAGTTTTTGACAGCTTCGTAAAGTATCGTTATGATCAAATTTTGTATGGAAAAAGCTAGTTTATACATGGTGTCAGTGGCGCTGCTTAGTTTTTTTCATAGAAACTTTGACGATGCGATACGTTAGCGTTAAGCAGCTGTCAAAAACTCGTGCTTGGGCCTCAGGGATAGCTTATGGTGTGGGTAATAATAAAGGAAACTTAATAATTTGAAGCAAACTTTACCTTCATTATATTATTGCGAAATTCTAACTGACGTTTCGTTATTTTATTAGCTAAATGGAGGCCTTCTTTATCTTGCAAATTATTTAGTTTTTCTAGAAAATTCCAATAAATTTCATTTTCATGTGGGAACGTTTTGAAGAAGAAGATTCAGTATTATTAAATGCACTAGAAAAAGTTAAGGATGATTTTGACGAGATCACAGAATTCTTGGATGTGCCATACATGTCGAATTTTAAAAACCACGTTGTTGGATACGTAGCCGGTTTTGTTGTCAAGTTCTTAACAAAAAAATTGAAATGCTGTCATTGTATTGATAATTTAACTGCTAAAAATCATTGTTGGTTTCATAAATGTGTGATGTTAAAAGATAGAGGTGGATTATCATATGCCTCTGAAGATGTATTTCGTATAATTTTAACTGTAGAACTGTAATATTTAATTATTTGCACAGCCTGACATACGAGCAGACCGAAGAATTACTTCTTATTTGTAAATAAATGAACGTAACTCCATTATTTACATTTACCAACATTTATATAATGATTACTTTAAGTTCTGTTTTAATTAATTTGTTAATTTATTAAATATTCTATGTATTATTTAGATCATAAAAGCCTGAAATACAGGTACAATTTTAACTGTAACCTAGTTCAGGCATCCATTATTTTGTATTTTATATTGTTATTAGTATTATTATGCAATGTATGACCTTATTTGAATAAAGATATATTTATTATTATTATTATTATTATTATTATTATTTTTAATATACTTGGTTTCAGAATCTATAATACAAAATATAGATAAAGTGTCGCACATAAAATCAAATTTAATATATAAAAAAATTGTAATTGATGTCATGTTAAAATTCATCGGGACGGGTTCTAAAAGATATTTTGATTTCGACTCAAGTCATGTTAATGGTGCCATACATCAGATTAATTTAATTCGACTAGTAGTGGAGAAGTTTATACAAATACGACTCCATTACATTTCGAAGAAAGAAAATTTGCAAAAGTCAGGGAATTTTAAAAGGCAAATTCATCGTTTATCGATAACTTGTTCAAGTTAGTGGCATGTAATTTTTATTTTTTGATAATAAACTTTATTCTTTTGTAAACCTGCTTATTTTAATAGTTTTTACTATATATATTGTTATTATAGTTTTATTTCAATTTCTAGTGTCTGCATGGTTAATAATAATTATAAATTTACTCAACACTGGTGTCGTATCTGACATGATTCACTAAACTTAAAACTTAATTTAAAATCAGTCTCTCCTTTTCATTCTGTATAGAGAATGACAAGGATACACTGATGTCATCAAGTTAAGGTTTAGAGAATCAAGCCAGAATCGACACCAGTGACTTTAAAGAGTTATAAAGATAATGGGGTGCGCCGTTTAAAATAGTATTATAGTATGTAGTTGACATCGCAGAGCCCAATCGATACTAATTTAACCTGCCATACCATCCTTCATTTCAATACAGTAAGGTCAAAATTGTATATCGTAAATATCTCTGCAAACAAACTTCTAATCAACTCTAATTAAAGCGACATATATTGCCGCCTTCCTGTGGCATAAAGTTAAATTCATGAATTAAGGTAAATCTAATTAATATTTGGTTTTCATTGAACCCACCCTACTTTACAGTCACAATATTTTGTGTTGTCGTATATTGCCTGATATATTTGCGGTTTACGGCTCCCTTAATAATTTAGGACTATTAAAACAGGCTGTTGACTTTCAATATATTGGACGAAACATAGTAATATTTTATGTTATCGTATAAATATGCAAATTATATAAATTACACATTAAATCTTGAGATGAGACTTTCGATATATATAAATATTTATTATACATTTAGTGATATCGATTCTGGCGTGATTCTCTAAACTTCAAACCAAATTTAACATCAGTCTCTCCTTTTCATTCTGTATAGAGAATGACAAGGATGCACTGTTGTCAAATTTAAGTTTAGCTGTAGAGAATCATGCCAGTATCGATATCACTAAATGTATAATAAATATTTATGTATATCGAAAGTCTCACATCTATTAGCCTAGCTCCCGGGACCTATGACCTATGAAGGCCGACACCATCAAAACTGGCGTACATACTCGTACCACTCAGACTACGGCGCCACTTATAAGAATTTGTAACCAAACTATTGACCTATAGGGGTGACCCCCTACATAATGATATTAGGATAAAGGAAGGAAGACAACAGATCCTGTTGAATGCATGACGAGCATTGATTTATTAAGAAAAGTAAATGTTTTATATACCTAATACAATGACGTAATATGATGCATTTCTTAGATACATAAACGTGTATGAAATTATAAAAGATATTTTGATTTAACTTAAATGCAGTTCACTTTGTTTAAGAAAAAAAATAGATAATAAACTCATTGATTTCTACTTTAACATCCTTTCACATTTTAAAAACACATTTTTTTTTACAAATAATGTTTACAACCACAATTACTAAGAAAGTAGCTTTTTACCTATTGAGGCCTTCAATGAAAACTTATAACTAAAGATCTAAACAGTCGTTATCTGTACGTGACTCGTACAATTATAGTGTTTTATATCACTGCTATAGTCAGCTATATTGAACATATCACCTTCTTTTAAGCAACCTTAAACATTTACTTAGGCGTAATTCCTTTATTTGGATACTTCAACTATCAGAAATATTACTTCAAATGCAGTCGTTTCTTATTTAATATTAAACATAATATAAATATTTATCAGTTTCTGCTCATCCACGCCTAGCTAATAGCATATTATTTTTGTCATAGGCAAATTACGTGTGCAATTTTCAAAATATTAATGATTATTAAATAAGTTCTAATAATAACATTAATAAAAAAACACGAGTGCCGTTAAAAAAATTCTACTATATTTGATATGGCCTCATTAAAACCGTTCAAATGATACCTATATTGTAATAATGAGAAGAGTTTTTTTATTGATATAAATAATTGATATTTTGACATTGCTGTTATTACAAGTTTAACAGTAAAGTAAGTAAGTACGGGAAAGTACACACATATAAATCGGTTCAGTCGTTTAAAATTTATAGTGGGATAAATAATTGTACATATAAACATGAACCCTGAATACATTACACTCTTTTTTTCTTGGGGAGTATACACACTCTTCTTAATGGGCAATAGTAAATAAATGGGCACAAGAAAGTTGCTGGAAGTTATTTGAAAATGATATAACTTGATAATATAACATTGCCGATCGTTATACACCAACTTTATTGATACCTAAGTGAGTTTTAGCTTAGATGCAAGTCAATTAATTAAAACACAAAGTCAATACACAAAGCCGTGCGCCGTTTTAAATAGTATTATAGTATGTAGTTGACATCGCAGAACCCAATCGATACTAATTTAACCTGCCATACCATCCTTCATTTCAATACAGTAAGGTCAAAATTGTATATCGTAAATATCTCTGCAAACAAACTTCTAATCAACTGTAATTAAAGCAACAGATATTGCCGCCTTCCTGTGGCATAAAGTTAAATTCATGAATTAAGGTAAATCTAATTAATATTTGGTTTTCATTGAACCCACCCTACTTTACAGTCACAATATTTTGTGTTGTCGTATATTGCCTGATATATTTGCGGTTTACGACTCCCTTAATAATTTAGGACTATTAAAACAGGCTGTTGACTTTCAATATATTGGACGAAACATAGTAATATTTTATGTTATCGTATAAATATGCAAATTATATAAATTACACATTAAATTATTAAGTTCCTAAAATACTATATTATTTAAAGACACAAAATAGATTAAAACTACTAAATAAACTATATACTTATACCAAACTAAAAATAAAGCTATATTATGTAAAAAATCGACCCCAAATCGCTGCGCTCGCAGGGTAGTATCCAAGATGCTGGCGGCATTTCCCCGTTGAACGGCCAGGCTCAACCTTTGTCCGAAATGCGCGCCAGCCCTTGGATCCCCTGAGGCGCCGATGAGGCGCGTGGAAATCTCCTTGAATAGCTGACGGGCTTCCGCACCCCAAGGCCCCAAGGTCTCCACGGCAAAAAGCGCAAATATATACGGCTCTCCCAAGGCCCCATATTTACGCCTTTTACTGGTTTCAGCTATCGCCGCAGCTGCGCCGGCTTTGCCAGGGGTCGCTCTTACGTCTCTCTCTC